GACAGGAGAGGAATCGATACCTTTGAGCTGTGATGTTGGAGAAAAGTACTGAACATCGCATGGCCTGCTAAAAGAACAAACAGATACGTCTTGGAGAACGCAGCCAGAGTGCTCCCTGGAGGAAAAGATGACAACGTGAAATCTCACACACCTTAGCTATTCCTATAGGAGGACATCATGGTTGGAGCGGTGGAGGGACAGTGAAAGAGAGGAAGACCCTCGATGAGATGGACTGATGCAATGACTGTTGCAGGGGCCACGAGCACGTTAGAGGTGATGAGGATGGCGCAGGACAGGACAGGGTTTAGACTGTTGTTCATAGAGTCAGTACAAGCTGTACTCATCTTGACAGCACCTAACAACGACAACAGCAAGCCAGAACAATTTCCAGTGGGGAGAGAATGCATATTTTCCTTCTAAGTTTGAGGATAAGACATACATATTTCTTCTTAGCACCTAGAAGAACATGAAGCAGCTCTCTGAAATCTCATTTTAAATTACCTGTCCTTTTCTATTTTCTAATTCTTTCTATCTTACTTCAGGCCCTATAATATATAACCAGTATTCAGGGAATCATTCCACACTGGCCTTCTGGCCTCCAATCTTATTGTTTTCTTCTATGCAGTCAGGAAAGAAGGATGAGCTGTCTCTTCCAGCAAAGATTTACAGTCTCAGAAGCCCAAAGAAAGGCCATCCTCAGCTGGAACAGACTCAGTAGAAGTGGGTTCGATTTTTTTTGTTATTAAATTGTCGTGTGATATTGCTAAAATGAAAATACTATAAAAAAAAACCCATATGTCTAAACAACTTTTCGTTTTCCTTTGTTGCTTCCAGCAGTTCAAAATTCAAACGTAATCCAGTACTCATTGACCTCCATGGGGACCCCTCCACTGTGTCCTGACTCACACTCAGTTCCTCCCCACTTTGGCTCTCTGTGGTGGCCCGAGGCTTTCTGGAACATGCGCACTGCCTCTGATCTTTGCATCAGCCCTTCTCTGGTTGTAGCTTTTATCTTGGAGATAACTGTCAACTTGTCAGTATCAAACTCGAGGACCCTTCCTACTTGGAAGTCTTATACTCTGAGGACTCCTGTATCTCCAGTGTATCCCTGGGCATGGCCCTGGTAGCATCTACAACATGGCATTATACCTGCCCCCTTAACCCCAGGCTCAGTCTGACAGAGACAGAGACAACACTGCGTTGTTACTGCTTCCTCTCCCTCCTTCAGTGTCTGCCTCCTCTCCTTTACAATCACGTATGTGATGTCCGGCATTGTCTTTTACTGTGCCCCAGACCTCAGCATTGTCACTGACATGTAGTAGAAACTTCCATGATATTTTCAGAATTAACATGAAGGGAAATTTACTCCACTGTCATTGATTGACTGGCTGTGTCCCTCAAAACTATGGATTGGCACTCAATTTTTTAAAAATAACAACTTTATTTTATTGTGATTTTAATGAAAGCTTACAGAAAGGTGGGGTTTTCTTTCATTCATTCATTGCTGCAGATTTTCCTCCCTCTCCCTCTTGTCCCCCTCCCCCAGTTCACTTCTCCCCCTTTTTTGCACAATGTTCTTTCCTCTCTCCCATCCCCTTCAACTGTCATTCTTAAAGTCCATCCCTTTTTTTTTTTCTTCTTTTTTGTGTGTACCGTCAAATCAGATCTGACTGGCACAGGAGGAGATTGCCCCTCCTTCTCCAGCAGAGCACCTGGTGGATTCAAACCACGTACCTCTGGGATTGCAGTGCAGCTTCTTGCCACTAGGCCACCAGAGCTCCCAAAGTCTATTCTTCTGGTTCTAACTCAGTTTAGAGATGGATTTTTGCTATGTTAATGAGGTAGTATTGGTGGAAGGTTTGTCTTAAATCAATCTCTTTTGGGATATACAAGAGTAGTTTCAACAAAGATTAATCAAGCAGAGGTAGTGAAACGTAGGTGCCAGGCTGCTAGACGACCCCTAGGAACAGCATCAGAAAACACACAGGAGCGACCTCCAGAGCCAAAAGAGAGAGAGAGCCTCCCCAGACCCTTTCCTTGGTATTCTGACTGCCTAACTGAGATAAAATTAGTTTCTGTTCATCAAAACCACTCACTTGTGCTATTTCACCAACACTTTGTGGACTATTTACCCAGGTCATATGTGTTGTATCACTTTTAAGTGGTAAGATTTCACTGTCAAATAAGATTGGACTTAGAGGAGTCTCAGGTCTACTAGAACTCAGACATACTGTCATGTTCTGCTGGTTAACAATTGGGGGAAAGAACACAAGTTAACCAAGTAAGAGGAACCATCAGGGAGAAAGAAAGACTCCTTCAGGCCCTTCCTCAAGGGAACTAGAAAATGGGTTATTATCATGTCCTTTCTTCTATTTCCTATTTTCACTTAATTTCCCCTTATCGTTTGCCTTATTTTGGTTCTCATCAGAAGTAAGATCTATTCCTAGACCAGACCATAGCACAGTGCTGTACATGCAGGAGAAGTTATAGGATAAAAGAGGAAATACTAGAGGGTGCCACGTTCATACTCTGTATGTTCCATGTTTCAGTTATTAGTGGGTGTTTGCAATTGTTCCTATTCATTTTTTAGTGTTTTATATCTAATTGTCCAACTGCACTCTACTGTGCTCACAGGGTTTTCAAAGGTCTGTTATTTCAGACGTACATGGCCAGTCCTTCTTCCTAGTTTGTCTTAACCTAGGAGCTGCAGTTTAACACAGCACATGACAGACAAGCACTGTACCCCTAAAAGCAGATGAAAAACAAATATATACATATCTAAGCTATTATGAGTAGCAACATGAGAAACACTTCCTCAATATAAGAAGCTGACAGATAAGTGATTACACTCCTAAGAGCAAACCTACAGATATGGCTGGGGTGGCAGGGGCTCTTTCATGGAGACAATAACAGTGCAAGGTCTGGAAGGCCTGGAGGTGGGGACAGCGGCCAGGAGCATTGACCTCCCTCAGCAAGACAGGGCTGCTAAGCTGCTTTTTTGGAGGCAAGGATGGTGAAGCTCTGTCTCACATACTTTGGGGCCTGTAGTCAGAAGGGGCCAGACTCTGGAGAAGAATGTCATGTTTGAAAAGGTGGAGGGTCAGCGTAAGAGAGGAAGACCCTCATGGAAATGGATTGACACAGTAACTGTAGCAATGGGGTCATATGTGTCAGAGATGGTGAGGTCAGCTCAGAATAGGACAAAGGTTCAGAACTGTTTATAGGTTCACTATGAGTCATGGTCAATTCAACAGCACATAACAACAACAGAAAGTGCTAGAAGGCTCTTAATATGGAGATTTGAGTATAATAGCTCAGAGCTGATTGACTCATTCTGATTCCAAAAGTGTTACTTAAAGCTATACTCACTTTCATTAACATTGCCCAACAAATCAGTCTATTCACAGATAAAATGTCATTAATACGCTTATATTTATCTTATATTTGCTAGTTTGTTTGCAAGATTTCAGAAAATTTACTAATCTTCTGGAGAGTGGATACTTTTGACACTCTAGATGGTGTCCTTAACACACAAAGTAAATTTCCATGCAAACTGTATACTGTTTAGCAGTGCTAAAACTTGGCTTTTCTTCAGCCAATAAAAACACTGTGTGCAAGCAACCCTGGATTATACTGTTATCAGGTTAAAATAAGACCTGTGGTTGATGTCCCCTGCCAAATGAGCTCAACTACTCAAAGCTATCATCCTTCCATGTTGTAGTCCTTTACAGAAGTGCTTTGGTCAAAGACATCACCCTTCCATGTCATTGTCCTGTACAAAAGCGCTTAAAACAACTACTGTCATAGCATTCCCCTCCTAGAAACCCAGAAGAGTGACTTACAGAGTTGTTGTTGTTGTTGTTGTGAACCAAAGAGTCACAACAGACCCCTAGCTGAGCCTCCATTGGGTTTTCAGAGACAATTAATCACACAGGTGGGGATTGCCCATCCTTCTTTTGTGGAGCATCTAGTGGCCTCGAACCACTTGCCTTTGAAATTACAGCACAGCTTTTTTGCCACTAGGCCACCAGAGCGCTCTACTCACACAATCACTGGCTGTGATTACATGCACTGTTACTGCTAGTGAGTCCACAAAAGTGAAAATGTATTCTGCTCCCAAAAAGGACACAACATTTTGTTTTCAAATTATCCAAGATCAGAGTCTTGAATAGTTTTATAATTATATGAATATGACAAATAGAGACATTAAAACATTTTATTTGTTTCAAAACTTGAGTGAGAGACAGTCTAACACAAAGTACTTGCCTTCCCAGAACATGCTGCACCAGCATAAGAAACACCCCCTCACGGCCCCCACTCTGACCCAGCCACGCAAGCTCCTACGTAGCATCGCCAGCACACATGTTGTCATCTTCATCTCAGTTGCCAGGGTGATAAAAGCTACACCTGTCATAGCTGAGGCGGGTGGGGAACACAGAGGGAAAGTGCTTTTCTGTGAGGTTCATGATCCATCCATTAAGTTGACTGCTTTGATGTGAATCCAGTGAATTTTTCCAAGAGCTTCTGCCAGGCCCCCTTCACCTCTTTATTCCTCACACTGTAGATCATGGGGTTCAGCATGGGGGTTAAGACGGCATAGAAGAGCGAGATCAGCTTCTCCTGGAGGACCGAAGGGCTGGAGCGGGGCTGGATGTAGGTGAAGATGGCCATGCCATAGCACAGGGCGACCACCGTGAGATGAGACGCACACGTGTGGAAGGCCTTCCTCCTGCCCTCGCTGGACTGGATCTTCAGGATGGTGGAGATGATCCGGATGTAAGACAAGAGGACCAGGAGGAACGGTGTCATCAACAGGACGATGCTGGAAACCATGATTGCAACCTCATTGGAAGACGTGTCTACACAGGCCAACCTGACCACAGCCAGGGTTTCACAGGATATGTGGTCAATAAGCTTGTTTGTGCACGTAGGAAGCTGAAAAGTGATTATAGTATGCAAGAGAGAGTTGATGGAGCCCCCGACCCAGGACGAGATGGCCAGTCTAGCGCACAGCCCTCCATGCATGATGGCTGAGTATCGCAGAGGGTCACACACAGCCACATAGCGGTCAAAGGCCATCACCGCCAGTAATACAAACTCGATCCCACCCAGTCCCAGAGAGAAGAACAGCTGGGCTGCACAGCTCAGGTAGGGGATCACTTTTCGTTCCGAAAGCAAATGCACCAGCAGCTGAGGGACTATGCTCGTGGCGTAGGAGACGTCCACGATGGACAGGTTGGTGAGGAAGAAGTACATGGGCGTGTGGAGTCTGCTGTCCAGTCTGATCAGAAGGACAATGAGAACGTTGCCCAGCACTGTGGCCAGGTACATGACCAAGAAGATGGCAAAGAGTGACACCTGAGTGCCCCAGTCCTTGGACAGGCCAAGGAGAATAAATTCAGTCCCCCACGTCTGGTTATCTGTGCCCATCAGGACATGTGTGACTCGTCACCTGCAGAGAGAGTGAGGAATGGCAGCGACTGCTGACTCAGAACCACGGGGAGCAGGTGGGAGAGGTCCATACACCCTTCGCCGAGTGTTTCCTGAGTCTTCGTAAAGCTCAGCTCATGAGCTTCATCCCAATATGGACTGCATCCACTCTGCACCAGGAGACCAGGCCAGAGATTTTATAAAGGGCTTATGTGGCCTCGGGATGATCCAACCCAAGTGCAGGGGATTCAGTCAACTTTTTGGAGCTCCACGTTTTCCTCCACTTAAAGTGTCCAAAGACAAGAGATGGTGGGATGGAAGGTATAAAATATACACAGTAAATAAAAACTAGGTTAAAAAAGCAAAGCCTTCCAGTCCTAGGACAAGGCCATCATGCTTGGAAAGGTGAAAGGACAACGCAGGAGAAGAAAACCCTGGGTGAGACGGATGGACAGGGCGACTGGAGCAATTGGGGCGGGTGTGTTGGAGACAATGAGATTGGCTTAAGGTACAACAGCACAGGGTTACTATGAGTTACAGGCAACTCGATGGCACAAAACAACATTAAAGATGTGAACTATGCCAAAAAGTGAAATTTGCAAATCCAATAGCAAAAAAAAACCAAAAGAATAAAAGGATTGATGAGAGGCAGTCACAGAGTAAAAAGTATTTAAGCGCCTTGTGGAAAATTCTGTGTCTGAGAACTTAGATTTGAGGCCTTTTATTATTAATTGTTATATGTTTAACTTCACTTGGAGACATAAGCTCTCATCTAAAGTGTGATTCTATTACATAGATCACAAGTACATTTAAGCATAACTATAGATCATTTAAGAAGGAAGTAATTTGTGAATCGTTACTGACATGATTGCTAGAGTGGTAACTTAGTAGTTGGTGTTTATCAACCTCTACCCTGAGATGGACAAAGCAGCAAATGTACCTTTCCTCGCATTCCATCCTGATGTGTGGGGTTCAAATTCAACAAGACGCCCCACCGAGCCACACCCACAGAGATGGCACTCTGGGAAAATGATGGGGCTGTTCTCTGTCCTTCTGACAGAAGCACACCCAACAACAAGCCTTCCTAGACTCAAGGTCTCCCAACTGGTTTAGGTTCTTGAAGATTCTGGGAAACATTCCTGTTTGTTTTTTGAGAGCTGATCTCTTCAGTCTTAGGTTGATGGAAAGAGACTATTTTTTTCTCTTTCTCTTGCCAACTGCCTGCTGTTAAGATTCTGCACTTTATGGGCTCAGAAGAGAGACTGCCTGGGCTTTCTGGAGTGATGGAAGGAACATAAAGCAATGCTGGCTGTCCTTTTTTCCTTACTCAGGATGTGATGACATGGACTGAGGTGGATTTACATTCAGCTGCAAATTCACTTGCCCCTCCCACCCCTCCGCCCCCTGACCCTCAGAAGTGCTTTAGTGAACAGATGTAAAATGATAATTTTGGAAATTAAGCAAAAATAACTTGCTTTTTACATAAATTTATAGGACTGGCCCACTTTAACTCCGTGTCTGCCTACTGACTAATTTTAAAGATCATAAATTATTTTTTACTGTGAGCAGAAAAAGAAGGGAAAGGGGGAGGTAAAATAGCCATGTAAGTCTTAGGGGAGAAACCTGGTTTGGGGCTAGGGCGTCTGATCTGCAGAGTGAAGACAGCCTACCCACCAAGTCACAGTGCTGATAGAGTCAAGCAAGGTAACTGTTTCCAGAACTGCATTTCATACATGGCTCAGATAGTTAACAGTTTCTTCCCTGTCTCTCCCCTGTCATCTACCGTGACCCCTGACCTCCTCTTCACCAGGTCCTCCTTTTCTGCCCTCCCATAGTAGTCCACCACCCACCACTCTGCACCGTAGCCAAGTTCATCTGAAAACAACAAACAGATCACCCACCTGCCTCCACGCAGAAATTCAACTTCTAAAGCATCAGAACGGGCTTTGCAAAGTCCTCTGTTGCCCTTTGTGGAACACTCAGCAGATGTGTATCAGAAAGTCAGCATCTGTGTTGATTCTTCTGATGAAGATAAGTGCCATCCTTGCAAGTAATGCTTGAACTGTGAATTTCCTCTAGGAAAAAAGCCAATAGTCAAGTTAAGCACATTTTTATGAGTAAAATCTCAGGTGAAGGTTTTCCAAATGTTTATTGAAAGCATCTGGTATTTTGGAACATAGATGAGAGATTGCCCAGTTAGCCTGTTGGGCTGTGTGTCTTTGACAACTTGAATCCACGTGTGGTTCCTCAGGAGAGGGTAGACTGGTCTCCCCCTGTAGGATTTACAGCCTCGGAAACTTGGTGAAAGGGGGCTGTGAGTCAGAGCCGGCCTGATGCTGCGAGCGGAGAGGACCTGAATGACTTAGGCTCTTACGCCTGTTCAGCCAGACGGGAAGCCATCCATTCCCAGCTCCCCACAGCTCCGCAGGTCCCAGCAGGCAAGGGTGTAGCCAGAGTGGCAATGTGCCTGACTCATCGGCAGACATGGCTGGACAGTCCTTGGCCCCCAGAGGGTGTCCCATGTTACTAGTGATGAGAAGACGTTAAAGAATCTGTGAGCAGTGCTCCTCCAGATAAGGTAGGAAGCCTGACTCTCACAGAGCAGATCCATGGAACCAAGTCCCTCCTGTGGCACCCACAGAGTCAATATCACCACTTCCATTCTTTCAGCCTCAGGTGTTTCTGTTAACACAGCTTATCAGACTTACCATTTCAGGGTTCTTTCAAAATTAACACTTAGTTTCCATTGTTCTTTCCTAGAGTAATATTCCAGAATTCCTGATTCTCCAGGCAAGAAAGGGCACATCTAGGGCTTGATACTTGGGTATCGCCTCTGTTGTCACGTTTCATTACTCTGCCCACGGAGCCTAGTCTATGTTTAAGAAGCATCTATGAATGAATGGATATCCAAAATCGCTATAAATGCTCATTAAAATTAATAAAAAGAAGCATCTAACAGTTTCAATTCTATTGTCAGACAACGCTAATAAATTGCCTTCTACGAAAACTTTACATTTGAAAAAAGAAGTTAATTAGAAAATAATGAACAAAATCCCGGAGAGAAGGTTAAGGCTGTCTTTGCTGTAGAGATGCCCCCATGGCAGAGAAGGTGCCGTGAGGTGAGGCGGGACGAGCCCGGTGGCCTTGTGTCACCTGAAATCGTTAGCACACATTTCACACCTTGCTTCACACGGACTTGAGCACAGCGGCTTCTCAGCAAACTCAGTGCCACGAGCAATGTCTCGAATGTGATAGGATGGAGACTTCCCACAACCCGCTCAGCTGTTTCCTTCATCAAACTCCTATTTCAATACAACCACTCAGATGAAATTACTCGGAATCATACCTTTCCATCGTCGGCCTGTCACAGACATGGCTCCGTGGACTCGAAGTGGGGCAGCGGACCAGTGCAGACACCGGGAGCATTGATCATGAGACACTGAGTCATCTAAATATCGGCGTGCAAATCTCCAAGGCCACATGGGTGCGGGATGTTTCCACAAGGACTTTGACATCCTATAATGGCAACTATGTTTTTCTCTTTGGGGTCTTTTAAGTCATTTTCTAGTCCATTTTGTTTAACTGGCTTTTAACTCATCTCAGTCTCTCCAACATGAGAAGTCTGGAATTCTCTTTCCATCAAATAACCCATCCTGATTGCATTCCATAGACATTGACTGTCTTTATACATTTTGGCCCCTGTTGCTGAGAGACTGTGATGTTCTCCTACGGAGTCATTACCTCAGCTCGGCAGCTCACCACAGCTCAGTCCCTGCAGCCTTTTCCAGAGGGACCGACCTGGGAACGAGAAGGGGAAGACCTAAATGCTGTCCCCCGTTCATACTGATTGTCAGATGCATTTTGAATGATCCATTTCATTCTCTTGAATGCCATTTTTTTCTTATTGAGAGAGAAAATCATAAGATCTTGTGTACCTGACTCACGAAAATAATTAAGACATTTTAATGTAAATAATAAAGTCTCTTTTCTGAATATTCAATCTTGTGGTATTTCTATTCCCTGCTAATGACCACCCACTCCTGGCTAAAGCTTTTCTTTACCTGAGCCTCTTCCCTCAGTGTCTACAGAAATCGCTCGTCTTATCTTTGCCTTATGTGTTGATTGACTCGTCACCTCTCTTTTTATCTGTAATCATAAGGTTTAAAAACTGAGAAACCTATTAAGCCAAATTTTACCCAAACCTCAAGATTCTGCAAAGCAGAATCATTTCACTACATTTTTGGAAAAACCTTGAGGAAGGAGAAGGTTTCACTAGTCACATTTCACATCCAAGGTTCATAATGAGTCAAACGAGTCCTATTTCTGCGCCCTTCCTGCCCCCACATCCACCCCGTTAATACTCTAAGGTCTCAGGTACTGACGGCTGGCTGACCAGACTAATAAGATGCTTCTCTCCTGGTGAGAATTGATTTCTGAAGCTTGTTCCCTTCCCACAAAGCAGTAGAATGTTGAGATTAGGCACCTACGATCCCTGTGCCCTGGTTTACAATGCAAGGAGCACTGCAGGGAGGAAGTTCACTGGAGCCCCAAGAGTGATTCAAACTCAGAGCTAATCAAGTGTGCCAGGGGTTCGGCTGGAAGAGCTCCCCCAAGAGCTGCAGTCATTAGTCTCTACTGCAGTCACATCTCCCCGTCCTCAAGGACAGCACTTTGGATGAGCCATGTTCCCCCAGAGGCTGTTCTCCAGTCCTAACGCACCACTTCCACCAGGGACTCGGACGCTCTCAAATGTCAGAGAACCCGCTTCCTGGGCTTGGGGGTGCTGTGGAGGCCAGACCCAGCATTGAGCCCCAAAACCCCTGCTCTCAGGAGCAGTGACGGGGCCTCTCCTGAGGGGGGAAAAGGTCTCTCAAGGATCCAGCTTCTGCCTTCACTTTTAGGATACCTTCCTCTTCTCTCCTAACGTATCTGCCACTTGTTGGGCTACTGTGAGCACTGCAAGGTCTGAGAGACACGGGAGTTTATTTCTCACGGTAATA